CTGTCCAATTCTTTACCTATCTGTTCAATCGAAGCAAACAGCACATTCTTTTTCTTTTTGAATACCGCCTGAGCGTTTTCTTTTGGCTGGAATTTTGCCTCCATCTTGGTACACGTTCTCAAACCTGGAGAAAAAACAGTAGGAAAAGTTCCCTTAAGTTTCTTTACTAATTTTTGGGCTTCTTAGTTTAAAAAATCTACCTTGTAACAGAAAGACTTTATCGGTAGATCCCATAATTGGAATTCTGTTATCCAAGTAATTTCGTGGTATTTTCTATGACAAATAGTTTAGCTTTTCCCGTTTTTTATTATTTAACGTGACGTTTGTAACAAATTCTCCAATAAATTGTATTTTTTCTCTCGTCACTGACCTCGCGATTTTATTTGTCTTCATTAAAGTTGGTTTCCCCAACTTCTACGTATGCAAATTTATGATAGATATGTCGGAACCACTGTCAAGTTGCATTTTTATTTTTCTATTACTTATTTCGACGGTAACAAATTTTCTGGTTATTCTATCGTTCACCTCGTCGGACTTTAATTTTCTTATTTTATTATCTTTATTTTTTGACCTGCAGTGCGAGCTTTTATGACCCACTCTTTTACAGTTGAAACATTTTTTATTCCTAAAATTGCAATATCTGTACCAGTGAAGTTCACCGCAAGCAAAACATGACTTCGGGAGTTTTTGTTTATTTTTCTCTGGTATTTCACTTTTTGTTTGATAATCCGCAATTTTAGAATTCTTTTTGGTAGACTGACTTTCTTTTTTGTAGCGTATTTTCCATACATGCGAAACACAAGACAGTTCTATCTTTTTCGAATCTTTCTTTACGCTAACATATCTTGTGCAGTCTTCTGCCAACTTCTGTATCGTAATCCTTGTTTCGTTTTCTAATTTTGTCAGTACTAATTTTCTCAACTCTGCGTCTCTTTCCGATACCAGCCCTTTAACAAACACTAAGCACTTAAAACTGTCAGCGCTTAACTCTGCTAGCTTGAATTCTTCACAATGCTTGTTCACATTGGCTGCGTACGTTATATAGTCTTGTTCGTCATCTTTCATCATATTCAAACATTTCCACCTCTTGTGAAACAAAGATGTCTTTTTACTAAATAATTCACTTAATATATTTACCGCTTCTCTAGTTTTTTTCGGTAAAATGTAGTTTACCAATTTGTTATACTCAGCAGTTCCTAACTTGCTTAAAAGAAGCCTAACCTTATTTCCTTCAGACCACGAATGGCAGTCCTCGTTATACACGTCCGTATATTTTTTATAATACTCTTCAAATGTTATCTCTTCATCTGGACTGTACGTGAATATTTCAATTGAATTCCATATTGTATTCTCTAATTGTTTTGTAGATTTTTCTCTTTCCGCTTCTCAGTTATTTCTAAAATTTTGTTTTGAAACTCTTTATGCATCTGTTCCATTTCTCGTTGAAACTGCATCTGTCTATTAGAAGTTTCCTTCTGTAGTTGCATCTGAAATGTTTTCTGTTGCTCTAATATCGTCATTTGTTGTTCCGTCTGGAACTTAAAAAATTCCTGGAATATATTTTTGCATTCCTCCATCTTCGCAGAAAGTTTACACAATGCTTAAATATTGTAGTGTGTGTGTGTGTGTGGGGGGGGTTTCCTACGAATTTGTAATTCGTGACCTATTTGAGCAAGCTGTCTTATCGAGAAAAAAAATTCTTTTCTCAGTTGAGAATACAACAGATTTTTTCGTCACTAAGTTGACGTCTTGTCTTTCGAGAAACTTTGCCATTTTTTTTTCTTTTTAAGTGTGAATCCGAGATTTTGTCGCCGAAATTGTGACGAGCAAGTTTTTTTTCTTTTTCCTCCGTATGAGTACGAATTTCGTTATCAAATAATGTTGTGGCGAATTTTTTTCTCTTCCATCGTCTGAATTCGAATTCCTTCGCCAAATAATACTGTGGCGAACGCAATTTTTTTTCTCTTCCACTGTATGAATCCGAATCCCTCGTAGCCAAATTTGTTATGGCGGGTGAATTTCTCTTTTTCCTCCGTATGAGTACGAATTCCTAGTCGCCAGATTTGTTATGTGGCGAATGAATTTTTTTCTCTCTTCCACCGTATGAATCCGAATCCCTCGTAGCCAGATTTGTTATGGAGTGATTTCTCAGTGTAGGCTTGTATTTGTACTAAGTCGGTCCTAAAATAGGTTCGACGTACAAAACGTTAGGAACTTCATATAATAGGTATGACGCAGAGAAATCTAGTTGTGTTCGCTGATACTTTAGTATCCGACTAACGGTCGTCCGGCATCGACTAACTGACCGACCCACAGAGCGATTCCCTACTACTCTTACTACTACTACTTATTATAGGCGGGAGAGTCTATTAACTATAGAATAGGCGTGTTCCACTATAACAAATTCAAAAATGTTTTTTCTGCAATAGAAATTGTAAGAAGGACTCATTGCACCTCTGTAAATGTAGCTTTAAATGTTCAGATATGCGAATTGGGGTTTGGTCAATCTCGATCGGAAAATTATTCTTTTGATGATTTCCCTCGATCTGAACGACCAAGTTCTAATAATATCGAACTTCTGCAAAACGTAGTTGAGGAAAATCCTATGCAAACTGCACGAGAATTATCAAAACGGTTCAATACAGGTCACACTTCGATTGTAATACTCCACCATGAACTCCGAAATGCATTCTGTTATGGTCCAGGTTAGGCCCAAGAAAGAACAACACGAACACAAGAGTATAAATAACGAAGGCATATTACAAGAAATAATAATACAAGATGTGGAAGGGGTTAGTATGACTGTCAGTCTGGTTTGGAGTGAACTACTATCGGTTCGACTCAATTTGGTATCTAGCTACCCCCCACGAAGGTTGCATGTGGCACAAGGCCGAGTTTAACGTGGGTTTCCCGAGCCCGCAGGCTCAGCCAAAAAATGCCCGTAGAACCCGTATAAACGGGATCGGGTTAGTCAACTTCCCCGAACGAGACTCTGCCCTTCGGTGGAGCCTCGTCCGAGTTCCTCTCTGCCCAGAGGCAGAGAGTTCGACCGTCAAGCCGAGAAGCTCGGCTTGATTCGACCCTCTCTCTTGAGAGGCGTAGTATACATAGTGTTATGAAGAGTTCATTCTGTAGTTATAGGTAAGGATTCATGACTATCTAAAGTTGGCCGATGGGAACCTCATCATCTGATCGCTTCTCAGCTTAATCATAGAGTTCCCCTTAGCTCATCACTGAAGAGTAGATTTTCTATCTAACCATTCTTATTTAGAATAATCACAATTGATGAAAAATTGTATAATCATATCCAACGCACTCGCTGGAGAAAGAATCCATCTCCAAACGAGGATGACGTTTAACAAAATGCCCTGTGTTTGGTGGTTTATGAAGGCTGGTTTCTATCATGTAGGGCTAAACTAAAGTAATACAGTTAATTTAGAAAAGTATTGTTGTTATTTGGAAGCAATATCTAACAAAAAAAAAGTTCTCATCATCAGTTAATTGTAAAGGCGTGTTGTTCTTACACGATAATGCAAGACCACATATTGCTCGAGTCAATCAAGAAAATAATGTTTTTAAATATGGAAGCTTCGCCTCATCCACAATATTTTCTTAACCGTTACCTTATCTGACTATCATCTTTTCAGATCATTGCAACATTTTTAGCAGGAAAACAATTTATTAACTGTGAAAAATTTTAAAATTGATATTGATTATTTACTAAGCGTCGAAACCGGAAGTATATTACACACGAGAGACGAGAAATTTCCTAAATAGTTGGGATTATGTTATCAACAGTGATAGGAAATATGCTTATTAAATATATCAATTAAAACCAAATAAGCAACTGTTTCTTTTCCATCTTCAAATGCAACAAGATTTTCTTTCCAACTTAATGCTTGACTGGTGATATATATTTGACCTCGTCAGCGTACTTTTGTGCCACATTTTAGACGAAATGATTTTCATTATTTTGTTATAATATTTTAAACGAATGTCTTAGATTCAATTGAATTCTGATTTCTAGACGCACAATGGCACATTGTTGTACTTATGTAGCAGCGGAAAATAATTGTTTTTGCTAACTTCTCATCATTTGTCTATATTTCTGACATGAGGTATTGTAACTATTTACATTGTTCGGACTATTGCCTTCATCTTTATTGTCATATTCACAACGACGTTCTTCAGGTGATATACGTTGGAATTTCGAATCGAACCATTTATTTAGCCCACGGGGGTGGGGAGTAGATTGTTCTAGTTCCACGTGCCATGCCTTTTTCTGGATATCTCAGTTTCAGTTATTTCCCTTTAGTAACTGAACTCTCCAAGTTTTTGCTCACCTCTGCTGTTGAACTCACAACTCTTTGGGTCAAGTCATTGGATTATTTCAACCAATGCTTTTATCCAATGGGTCATGTGTCATTGGGGACATCAATGTATAAATTTCGGGGATTTATAAACCTAATGTCTCAGTTTATTTTTTTATCCGAGTTCATATTACAATTTTGGTTATTGTTGTTTTTCTCTAGCACTCTGTATTACTGGTTCCCATATTGTATTCATTTCTATGCTTGGCCAGCTTAGGAGATTTATGTGGCATATCATATGTGCTGATTCCTTAAGTTTTCGTATTTTTCAGTGATCTTCTGTCTGATATTTCAATTTCATCCTACAGAGGGCGGTGATCTCCCTTTTCCCTCGTCATTTACCGACTAAAATCATTAGATGGCGCGTATTATCAACGCCTTGTACTTTTTTTTGTCTCATCATTATATTTGATGTCACATATTATTATTATTATAATTATAGATTGTTTGGCATATGCTTTGGTCATACCATTCTAACAATTTAATATTTGTCCGGGTTTGGGCCTGATGTGGACTTTACCACATTTTTTAAATACCTTTTTTTTCGATAGACGTTTTGACTCCTTGTTATAAACGTAGAGGTTTGAGGACAAAGCTACAGAATTGTATTGGACAGTCAGTGTTTTTGGAATGAACTCGCATTGTGTAAGCGAATCACTCAGCGACGTTCTTTTGTGATGTATCTAGAAATTGATAAGAAAACTGGCATCAATAAGACGAAAGTGAAATATATATAAATTGGGACTTTACACGCACACACCCGCACACGCGGGCGTACACTCATGTCTCGAAAGTATCACGCCATTTTTCTATCAATCGAGAATCGTGCTCTTGATCTAACTTGGCAACCAATCAGAGGAGACCTTACTTCGCATGCATAAACAAACACACGCTCTCGTGGGATTATTCAATCGGCTGCGAGGCACCATTGAGTTAACTTGTGTGAGTGTCGTATACACAATGGCCATCTCGTACAGGGATCTTTTGTCAAAACTTCGCATCACCGGGTCTTTTAGTTCCAGCTACAGACTAAATTTGGTTCCATGTGACTTATAGTTTTTCAAACCAAATATCACTGTTGATAACAGAGGTGTATAATGATACATCTGTGGACGATATTAAGAAGAACGAAACGAAGTGATCCCCAAACGGGAACAAACAGATTGTTTTAAAATCGGAAAGGTTGTTGAGATAAATATGTGAGGTTATGAAGGTATTTTTCGAAGGCTCCATTGTCCTAGACATACTATTGATTCGTTAATATTAAATTGCTGGATTTGTTCAGTATAGACCTCGTAGTGCACACTGAGATATCTATCTATCTATCTATCTATCTATCTATCTATCTATCTATCATCACTCACTTATATATACTATATACAGAGACGGCTTATGGCTATATTCCCGTAAGATTACCGAAGTAAAGTAACGTTGAGTCTGGTCAGTAACTGGTGACCGCTTGAGAATACCAGATGCTGTAAGCTTGGATGTGCGGATGGTGTAATGGATCATAGCTTGGAATTGTTAATGGGGGGGGGGCAAGTTTCAATTCCGGTTGGGTTCGTTATATTCACTTACAAACAAATATCCTTGGGAAAGGTATGAACTTATCTCTTCTCCCCTCAGCTATGGTTTAATTAGTAAGACTTATATCACTAAATCATTATTATCTACTTCAAAATTCTTATAATCTAAAATATTTTCTGGTTTAAAATAACATGCAAAGTGTTGATAAGCCGTAGAAAAAGAATCAAACAAAAAATTTCTCTTCACATACACACGCACACACACACACACAAATATATGTGTGAACCTTACTGTATAAATCTGTAGTCCAGCTCCCGCAAGTCATCTTATTTGGCAATTTTCAGTTTCATAGCTCTCTGATGAGACGTAAATAACGTGTAGATGTATTATCCTGCTGAAAGATTGTTATTTGCAAAGCCTTTCAGGAGAAAAAAACAAAACAAAACAAAAAACAAAACAAAAAACAAAACAAAAAACAAACAAACAAAAACGAAAAACAAAAAGGTCCAATATGTTCAAATATAGTTTTCAACTGCAATGTTTATATCAGTGAAGAAAGGTCCGTAAACTTTTGCTGATGGCAACCCAATCGAGACATTTACCTTTGTGTTTGAATGACATTTACCAATTGTTTTTGTGGTTGGTTACTACAAATCTTACGCAGGCAGCAATATTTTCAATACTGACCTTAGCTTATTTTAAGTCAGAACCCACACCCCAACTGCCACATATTCCCAATTTCCAACTCATAAGCAAACATCAATATTTTCATTCCTGACTTTCACTTAGCTCAAGCTCGAAACTACATCTTTCAATTTGCAAATCGTAAGTAGATAGCAATATTTTTAATGTTAATCTGAGGTTATTTTAAATCAAACCACATACGCACCATATTTCCAAGAAAAACAAATAACAATGTTTTTAATACTAACCTTAGCTTGAACTAGACTCCAAATATTTTCAGTTTATAAATCTTAAGCATATATTTAATACTGTTCTCAGGCTCGATTAAACCAACTTTAACATATTTGCAAATCTTAAGCAAGTTTCAAATTTTCAATTTCATATTTTTAAATTTCGAATTTTATTCGCATAACCATATTTTTATTGTCATTGATGTTTATTTTCCATCTTTATTTATTCTTTCCGAAAATTATTATCCAAAATTAGGATTTTTTTTCCATCTGATAAAAACAAATCTCAACAATATAATATACCAATAGCATTATTTGCTTTTAGTTTTTGCTGGTAGAAATGTTAAAACATTGTAATTCCCAATTTTGACGTGTATCAATTCTATGCTGGTAAAATCAAATCATTTTTTTTTCAAATTTCCAAAATTTCAGATGGTACTTGTGGTGCACACAAGTACCATCTGAAATTTTGGAAATTACTATAAGGGAATACTGAATCAGCAAAATTTTAGAATTCTAACTAAAGCAGGTATATATATATATATATATATATATATATATATATATATATATATATATATACAGTAGCAGCCATAATATAAGGAACGGAAACAACAAAGACATAAATATGTGTATTACTTAAAGAGTAATGCATGATTAGCAATGAAATTTTTACCGAATAAAGATTAGGGTGTAATGCATAAATATTATACAAAGTTACAAAAATTTACATAATAGCTTCTTTTTTTTTTTAAATAAAGATTAAATGGAACAAAAGAAATAAGCTACTGGACAAAAGTTAAGGAACGATCTTGTTAATACTTGACTGTGAACAAAAATATCAATAAAATTTAATATTTGGTAAACATCCCCTTATTTTCAATGACTTCTCTGCATCGTCGACCACACGATCTAATTAATTTCTTGCAAAAATCAGCAGTAATTCCCTCCCATTCGTCTTTCAATAACTCCCATAGGTGATCCTGGTTTTTCGGGTTTCTTTTCTGAGCCCTTTCTCCAATTATCTTCCAAACATTTTCTATTGGATTCAGGTCAGGGCTCTGGGCGATTCCTTTTTCTTCAAATAAGCTTCTTCTGAGCCTTGTGGCAAGGTGCATTGTCCTGCATGAAAATAGGAGATTCATTAAGATTATGGTGTAATTTTGGTACCACATGCTGCTGAAGAAGCCTTTTGTGAATCTCAGCATTGATATTGCCATGTACGCGAATGATAGGGCCAACTCCTGCAGATGAAATCATTCCCCACGCCATAAAACTGCCGCCACCAAACTTAACGATTTTCTTGACACATTGAGAAGACAGTCTTTCACCTGTTCTACGGCATATGTAAGTTTCGCCCTCAGAACCAAATATAGTAAACTTGGACTCGTCACTGAAATGAACTGTATCCCATTGTGTGTCAGTCCAAACAACATGTTCTCTCGCTTACTCCAGGCGTGCCCTTTGGTTTCGCTTTGAAATGAGAGGCTTCGAAGCTGGAATACGGGCATGCAATCCTACATTTTTTAACCTGCGAGCAACCGTTTTCCTTGAGATCTTATTAACTGTCTCTTCATTAAATTTACGGGCAATTGATGTAGCAGTTTCAAAACGTTTTTTTTGTAGATATTCTAACAATTCTTTGATCTTCTCTTTGCGATATTTTTGGAGGTCTGCCGGTTTTTGGTTTTGCATCTAACGTTTTACGATGAACGACACTTTTAGACCTATGAACAATATCAGAAATTTCTGAAATTGACTTTTTTTCTTGATAGTTAGCGATAATGAGTTTTTTTTTTCAAAAGAGAGCGTTTTGCGTGTAGAATTTGCCATATTGTTTAAAAATAAAGTCCTAATGATAAATGAACTTTTACTTATTGTTGAAAAGCTCCATCGAGTTTTTTAACAATGTAAATTAAAAGTTTATGCAAATTATTAGCATCGTTCCTTAACTTTTGTCCAGTAGCTTATTTCCTTTGTTCCATTTAATCTTTATTTAAAAAAAAAACTATTATGTAAATTTTTGTAACTTTGTATATTATTTATGCATTACACCCTAATCTTTATTCGGTAAAAATTTCATTGCTAATCATGAATTACTTTTTAAGTAATACACATATTTATGTCTTTATTGTTTCCATTCCTTATATTATGGCAGCTACTATATATATATATATATATATATGATAAAAATGTAGTTTTAAGGTATGCTATATTAGTGGATAAAAGTGCTCAATATCAGGCATAGAGTGTATGTAAGTATAAAAGTGGACACCGAGGTCAACATCCAGTGACAATAGTGTGTTTTTGTTATGGGGTCCACCCCTTTTTCATACAAGTGGACTCGACCAGTATGTATTTGTACTGCTGCCGGTGAATACCCGAGAGGTAGAGTAATAGAGAGAGTAAGAGTGTGAGGTAACCGCATGGTAGGAGTCACAGTTGCAAGCATGTAGACTCAGAAGAAAGTCCTACTTCGATACTGAATTTCCCAGACTATATATATATTATTATTGCTACTAACCGCATTTCTGGATCTACTAACCGTATTACCAATTGTATTATTACGTCAATACATTTATTTGCTATATTTCATTCCTGCGTTTGTCATTCATTTGAGACCGGATTATATATCTTACTGTTCTTTCTTTCTTTATATATATATATATATATATATATATATGAGATAGTATAGTAACTGTATTCACAATCTAATATAACAAAACATACAATGTGTACGCATAAGATGTGTACGCATTATAGATGCACACATTTACATTTAATACAACGATTTTTGTCAACTTCCGACTATGTTCAATCTAATGCATTTTCTTTCCCGTATTTTACTGAAGTATAGTCAAGGGTTTTAAAGAAAGAAAGAGAAGTGAAAATGTGTGACCTTCAAGAGTTTTCAGAATTGTTTTTAACTTTTAGAAGGGTCATTATAGATATCTAGCATTATTCGGGCACTCGAATCGCTTCTCTGAAGAACAGTCTTCCGTTAGGGAAAAAGTTTAAAGTGTTTGTAACAGAATATCCATAAAGTCTACATTTGAAACGGAAACTATCATTTAACGGCCAAGCATGAAAAAAGAAAAAAAAATGGATAGGATGAAAAAAATCATTACTTCCGTTGAAACACAGACATCGATAATTTTTGTAAAACTGTGAAAAATAAATAAGTCAAAAGAAGAAAACGATTTCGGTGTAAACAAAAAATATTCCCCTAAAAAGAAACGACATTAAGTATTCCCTTGTTTATAAATCTATTAAAAAACTAAATTGGTGTGTTGTGTAGTCTTCCAACAACAGAACGTAATGAGAAAGATTTCCTGCGGCGAATGGAAATTTCTTTTACAATAAGATTGAATTTGTTTGTTGGCTGATGCTTTTATTTTTCTTGACTGCGTTTTTTTTTTTAACTTTATCTGTCTTTCATTTTAGTTGACAGCAAAAACAAAAAAAAGCAATAAAGTGAAAAGATGGGATAAAATGGAAGATAAAAATGACAGCGAGAAGAAGAGAAAATAGATATTTGAAAGGAAAAGAAAGGAAGAAAGAGATAAAAGAAAGTAGACGAAAGAAGAATAAGAAATGGAGAAGTAAAACGAAAGGAATATAGAAAGGAGGAAATGCTAAAAGAAAAAGAAAGAAATAGATGAAGGGAGAAAAAGAAAAGAAAAAGAAAAAGAAAATAGAAGAGGGAAGGAAAAGAGACGTTTTGAGAGACAAGAAAGAAATAAAAAAAGAAGGAACGAAGAAAAAGAAAAAAGTAAGATAAAATATATAATAATTTATATATTTGATCATTTTTAAGAAAGATGAAGATAAAAGTTCGGGAAAGAGAGAATGAATGAATAAAAAAGACTGTAATTACAAGAAAGAGAAGAGGAAGAAAAGGAAGAAGAGGAGAAAGAGGGAAAGAGGAGGAATAATAATATGAAGAAAAGATGAAGTAGCTTTCC